CAAATGTTGCCTCGGGAAACTATCTCCTTTGTACCTTTCAAACCTCGGCATTCTGAACTTCGGAGGTAACACTAGGCCAGGAACCAGACACATATCTGCAGCACTAGGAGTAACAGCGTCTTTACTTTTCAAGGCTTTGAACCTCTCATCTAATGCACGAAACCTTTCAGCATACACGGGAGCTAATGGGTCTTCATTCTTCGCTGTCGGGACCTCTTTTCGGGGCTTTGGCACAGGGAAGGCAAAACCCTGGTAGTCTGAGACATCAACAGAAGGAGAACGTTCACCTCGGACAACAAACTGCTCACGCAGACCTTGGTCTTCAACAGATGGCTGCACAAGCTGAGCTGCAGTAAGGTTGTTCACTTGCGGAAAGTCTTCGTCACGCGGAGATCCGTACAGAGGATTAGACGCCACGGTGAAACCTGACAAGGTATCAACAAACTGGAAGCTGCTCTTTGACATAGCTACCAATGGTCTTCAGCTGACTTCGATGCTCGATTCTGATCAAATTTGCTTTGAATCTGCTCCAACCCCTTGGTCGTCTTCAGGATTCACCTTCAGAACCAAAATAACGGCTGGATAAGAGCTCTGACTAGCTGGCGAATAACATGCAATATGATGCGAAGATGCCTATGCAAATGCAATGCAATGCAACAAACGCGGGATCACAGCCCCCACACAATCTAAATACTGCTGCACTGCTGACGGAGTACAGTTGCTCTGAAGAGAAGACTAGAATAATGGGTAGGTTGGAAGTCAAGTTTCCTGCAAAAAAAACCCCCATGTCACAGGTATGGACCTATATCTGATAAGGTACGGCATCCTATGCGGTCGTCAGCGTCACAGACTTTCATGAGGAATGATACGATTCCCAGAAGGAGTGGCATCATCATCTCATGAAGAGGCCTCACTTAGCTGACTTCCAATTGATCGGTTCCCAGAGTCGACAATCCTCACGTCTGGACTCCCCTCAGATCCTCAGGACCGGAAAGGAGCACCTCTGCAAGAACCTCGTCTGAGTGCAGATTTTCGTAGGGAACTGGTGCCTGCTCAGCAGACAGGTTCGTCTACTACTTCTCCGCAACTATATCTAGGTGCATACTCATACTCAAGCCCAGGTCCGGCTTATCTCAATATCATAGAATACCCGTAACACCCAACAGCAACAGATAATATCGATAAATAAGCCCCAAATGGACAAGCAAACAAACGCTAGGATTGACTCTCTCTTAGGGGACGTAGGATCCCACATGCATGGGGAACTATCGCAAGTCCCCAGCAGAGTCGCCAGCTGTCGCTACTGCGAAAATCGGCGCCGGCTGACAGAAGAGTCGCCACCGTGCGTTATTTATCCCTCAGAGCGGGAAAGGAAACGCTCGAAGTAAACCTCGCAAAAAACGGGGAAAAGGTATGGTCATCGCAACCATAGCCTGGGTTCGGGAGTCGGTTACGCAAGGGGAAGGTGTCAGCACCCCTCACGTCCGTCGTACTCGACGGGATCCACGCTTGCTTGGGTTGTCTACTGGATGCAAAACAATCTATCTACGGCTGCTAAATCTAAACGGAAGGGAATTGACTCGATAGAGCGTCGCACTCTATGCCTACGTATTCTCAAGAGAGAAAGTCAGAGTCAACGTAGTTCGGGACTACAGGGAGAATTGGCTCGCCAAGACCTCGCGTCTTGTGCCTACGTACTTCCACATTGCATGGAAGATCAGAGCTTTACGTAGTTCAGACTAACTACGGCTAAACAAACATTCTCACACAGCAGTGAGAAAAACAACTGGTTTCACAGGGTCGGGAACCTATGGGCAAAACTATGGCTTGGTCTCAAATGCACTCGGGCAAGAGAGAAAAAGGGGTATCAATTAATCGTCAGCGGGAAAGTCTCGATCGCACAGCCGCGAGAGAACAAAAGTCAGTCGTTAGTGTGCTCACTAGGATATCGCATCCTATGCCTACATATCTTCGTCTGGTACGAAGAATCAGAGCAGCTGTAGTTCGGCTACTACGGGACCACAGCTCAAATCTCATTTTATTAATCTCTGAAAAATGATTTACAATGGGTGAAAACTGAAAATAATCTCCTAGGAAATACTATCCTATTCTATCCTGAAAAATCGAATGAAAAATAGCCCCCTAACAAATGGGCTTCTAAACTATCCTAAAATCGGAAAATAATCTCTATGGAAATATCTCCTAAAAGAAAATGTACTTAAAAAATATTATATCTACTAATATTTTTTCTCTTTTTTCTTCTTTTCTTTTATTTCTTTTTCAATATTTTTCTCCATATTTCATATATTTCTTTTTCACATATTTTTCTCTTTATGGTTTTTCACTTTTCTTTTCATATTTTTTCTATATTTTTCTCCTCTTTTTTTGTATATTTTCAATATATTTTTTTCCCTTTTTTTTTCTATTTTTTCAAATATTTTCTTTTATGTACTTTTCTTTCCTTTTCTTTTTCAAAATATATTCTTTATATATTTTTTCTTTTTCTATTTTCTTTTTCTATTATTTTTTCTCTTTCTTTTCACAATATTTCTTTTCTTTCTTCTTTCTTTTTTGACATTTCTTATATTCTTTTCCTTATTTTTCAATAATATTATTTTCTTTTTACTTCAAAGAAAAATAGGAAGAAAAAACAAAATACAAAGGGAGGGGGGTACATTGTGGTTTACAGGGGGTTATGCAAGTAAATAAAATAAAACTGAGATTGGGCCCAGCCCAAAACAACTCACACCAAAAAAAACATGAGGGGGGGGGGGTATGAGTGAACTGAGTGTGTAGTAGCGAAACATTGGGCCCAAGCCCAGAACTCGTCCAAAAAACGTGAGGGGCGCCTCCAGAAAAAAAAAACGTAGTTGGGCCCGGCCCAACCCTCTCGTGGACATCCTCCTTCTCCCTCTCCATTCACTCTGAGTTTCTGAAACCCTAGCCCTTACTCTTCTCCCTTCAGCGCCGCCGTAAACCCTGCGTCTGGTTCCCTCATCTCTCTCAATCTAACACCTCCATCTCAACTTGTTTCTTCCTCTCCATTTCCCTTTCAAACACTTGTCTCACTCCCACCATAAACGATGAAGCTTGCATGGTGCTGAAGACTCATTTTGTGAATGAGGATTTGAAGAACGCAACGAATTTCTGGAGAGGATGAAGCCTTTGTTTGAAGCTGTTAAGGAGAATTTTGAAGTTCTGTTGAAACCCTTGACGAACACAAATCGTTGATGAACTCACACTAGTATTCTTTTGATCCTGGAAAAAGCGTAGCGTTTGTGGATGGTAGATGATCTTGCTGAAGATCAAAGGTCTTTGAAGGTTGAGGGATCTGGACGAAATCTGGATCTACAACAGTGGGAAATCTCTGATGGTGATTCTTGATGATGCTCGCTTCTGGAAATTGTTCTTGAAGCTTCTGGAAACTGCACGTGAAGGCGATGAAGATCTGTTGAGATTGATGACCATGCGAGGTGAGAA